ACTTTCAATATTTCTGCCTCTCTTGCGAAATAAATGTATTAGTCGCACCAGATTGGTCGCACTCTGGAGCCCTGTAACAGTTATTACAGCAACATGTGCAATATGACAACTCCTCCATGTATATGTTTTGTCCCTGACAGCAAGAGAAGCTGGGTGATATCTGTATTTCCCTTCGTTACGTCCCCACGGCTGGTAAGCTAACGGTTAATATCATGGAAGCCAAGAACCTGAAGAAGATGGACGTCGGAGGACTGTCAGGTAAGACAGATTGATAAATTACTGTGTCGTCAGCATAACAAACAGAGCTGTTAGTAACTGATGAGCCTAGATCATTTATGTATAATGTGAAAACACCACTGTAAGATAACTGTGAAACCAGTTACATGCATTAGTGTCACAACCGATGGATCTAAGGTAAACACTTGCATGCATGCTTATTCTAAAGACTGGGACTGACAGTGGATTGCAGTTATGGTTTTTAATACTGGCTCCTCTGATCCACTTTCTGATATCCTGCGTCTCTCTCAGATCCATTTGTTAAGGTGGTGCTGCAGCACAACGGGAAGCGACTCAAGAAGAAGAAGACATCAGTCAAACAAAACACTCTGAATCCTTACTTCAATGAAAGCTTTAGTTTTGAGATCCCCTTCTCCCAGATCCAGGTTCGTATACTTTAAGCATTAAGCTTACATTTAGTAAAATATTTCAACTTAAGTGCAATTCTTTTATGGCTGCATCATTAGACAAATTAGCTGCGAAGCTCTAGGAATGGCAATGTCTGCCGGATGGTCCGCCACTTTGGTCCACACTAATATCCTGAAACAACCTACTCTTACTCCTAACTCATCAAATGCGGCCACTTAACACTATGACACTGTAGGTACTCTTCATTTCTGGATAATGTTTTCTGATGTGCCATCAAGGTTAGGTGACGTAGTGTAAAGAACAAGAAAGTATGGAGGAGGTTGGTGTGTAATAATATTTTGGTGCAAAGTTTGTCCAGCAGCGTGCGCTTTAAATTTAAAGAATATTCAAGTGAAACACTCTTTAATAAAGTTAATTTGATTCAGAAAGCACCCTTATGAAATCGGTGCAATATCCACAAAAGTGGAAAATATAATTTTTTCAGCTCAATAAACTCATTATATCAGTAGCCATATTGCTAATCAGTGAATTTTTCCCTTCTATGATCGGTATTGGTCTCAAATATTCCATATTGGCTGAGCTCCAGTTTATATGTTAAGTTTAAGTAATTTCCCCACGGGGATTATTAAAGTATTTCTGATTCTGATTCTGATTAAATTATAATAAATGTTCGCACACTGACCCAGTAAACTAAGACAGTGAACATAGTAAACTATATACCTGCTCCAGAACAGGATCAAAGACAGTCTCCATTTTCCTTCAACCTAACTTTGGCTCCTCCTCCTCCTCTGCTGTCTCCACGTACAGAAAATCCAGGTGCTGATTACTGTGTATGACTACGACAAGCTGGGCAGCAACGACCCCATCGGCAAGTGCTGGATTGGATATGGTGCCTCAGGTGTCGGACTGCGCCACTGGTCAGACATGCTGGCCAATCCCAGACGTCCAGTGGCGCAGTGGCACACGCTGCTTACGGAGGAGGAGGTGGATGCTGCACTAAAGGCCCCAATCCGCTAAACACGCTCACAGACGTGTATATGCACCATACATGTCATCTACACCATCATTTACATAGTGGGTGCATTCTTCCATTTGAAACCAAACAACTGTAGGTTTTCTAAAATGAATAGTAATGTTTAAAGCTGCAGTAGGTCGTTTTTATAACAATCACTTTTTGTCATATTTGCAATAATGATATTTTTATAAAACTTACCTACTGCAGCTTTAATGTACGTCAGATTCACACCTTCATTCTTTTTGTAATATTTCATGTTGGGTTCTCTTTATAAGACTATATGTGTACTTTATATTGTTTTCAATACATACCATAGAAATATATGCAAACACATTATTTGTACTTGCAACACACACTCAAATTTATACGAAACCTACAGTATACACAGTGCAGCTAAAGTTGTGTTTTGCACTGGTTCATGCATACTTTACACTGAAAGACTACACATTTATGCTGACTCGCTAGTTAAATGACTCTGGGTAATTTAGCATCACACTTCCATAAAGTTTGGATACTCACAAGAGACAGATAAAAAAAATGGAGTAATAAAAATCGAAGGCAGACTATGCTGACTTTTAGTCACTAAAAACCCTGGATACTACACCTCCCATAATGCGGCTTGATAGTCTTTAAAAGTCTGTGTTTATGCTCCTCCTGCCTGGTGAATGTCCTCATCTTTTAAACTCCCAGTTCCCAACACAGGATTTCTGTAAAACAAAAATACAAATAAAAATGGACGTGTGAAGCCCATCATCAGGGTTGTTTTCTTCAACCACAGAAGACATAATACAACTGTTCAGTATAGTTCTCCTTATGATGAGTGAACTGAACTTCATGTGTAAAATTTGTGGAGTGCCCCTGTAATATTTATTTTATGACTACCTTGGTAATTCTGAACCGCTGTTTCAGAGCTAAAGTGTTTGTTTCCCTCTTTCCTTATGTTCTCCTCTTGTTTACCTGGATAACTCTCTTATCTTCCAAACAGTCTAACCTGGATTTTCCTGTGAAACGTATTATATTTAGCTGCATGTTTGTACTGATTGTTGTGGCTTCTTCTCCTGTGTTTGTTTTGTGTTTGAATGAGACCCTGCTCAGGGTGTCTGCTGGTGAATGTGCATATCAATGTGTGTGTGTGTGTGTGTGTGTTGTATATCATAAAAAAAAAAAGGAAAGCTGTTTTTGATTCCGCTTTCGATATGTACCATGTGAGTGTAAATAAATAGTTGAATAAATAAAATGTTTCCAAACAACGACAGATGGTTCGGCTGAATGGATAGATTTCAATGCTCACACACGCTATAATACCCTCATGTGTGTACATGATATGCTTTCATTTGCACACTAGCAGAAAGACTTAGCAGGAACACCAGCAGGATCAGTTAAAGCTGCAGTAGGTCATTTTTATAAAAATAACTTTTTGTCATATTTTTTTAAACTTTTACTATATCCTGACAGTAGTACATGAGACAGATAATCTGTGAAAAAATTGGTTCCTCTGGCTCCTCCTAGTGCTGCTAATGGTATTTGAAAGAATTCGAACGAAAAGAACCAATCAGAGGCGAGAAAGATGGAAAGACACTTTAATTAACACTGTCGGTATTTTACTATCTTGGAATGAGCAATGAACTGTCTCTATTGGCTCTCATTGATTGTTTTCTTTAAGGTGTGGTAGGTTCTGTTTGGAGCACTAGGAGGAGCCAGAGGAAACCGATTTTTTTTTTTTTTAACAGATTATCTTTTTCATGTACTACTGTTAGGATATAGTTAAGTTTAAGCAAATATGACAAAAATATTATTTTTATAAAAGTTACCTAATGCAGCTTTTTTTTTTTATTAACTTTTTTATTGATTCCATTCAGCATTTTCCCATTAGCATTTAACATCTCACACATATGTTTTACATGTATACAGAGCATACCAATACTTCACAACAGGGATCAAACATAAATTCACAATTAAACACAAAACTCAGTAGACTCGAAATGAGTACATTTTTCACTTCAATCCACATTTTCATTCCCCTCTTGTAAAGACCTTTCTCTCCTGGTGAAGGATAATGCCGAATCTTATGAACATTGAACAGTCAAAATTTGTAGCAAGAACCAAGGGGATCCATAAGATAGGCTACATTGTTTTTACCAAATAAAGTCTGTTCTCATTGGTGTAACAAAGTCAACCCAGTTATTCCAGAAATTCTTAAATTTATCTGATTCTAGTCTAACTGAGAAAGTCAACTTTTCCATCCTGTAAATGTTATACATTACTTCGACCCAGTCCTCCCTTTTAGGTACCTCTGTTTTCAGCCACTTCCTGGTGATGGCTATTTTGCCTGCCACTAACATTATTCTGAATAAGTTTTTGTCCCCTGAATTTGTTATTCTCTGCTTCCCTTTTCCGAAGTACAAATCAAAAAATGTAAATGGAGGTTTCACTTTCAAATTTTTTTCCATGCATTTCTTTAATTCGAGCCAATAATGTATAATAGAGGGGCATTCCCAAAAGATATGAAAATGATTGGCTTTACTTTCTCCACAAAGTCTCCAACATCTCGTATCCTGAGATTTCTGTTGTGCTGGTGTAATAAAATATCTCACAATGTTCTGGCATGTTCTCTCCATGAGAGGGAGCATGTTGTCTTCCATTGTTGTTCATTGATCTCTTCCCATTCCTCCTTTGACAACATCCTTCCCACCTCCTTCTCCCACTTTTCTTTTATATATGCTGTATTANNNTTTCCACTTCTTTATATCATTTTGCGATTAATTTCTTGCCCAGGTCTGATTCATATGCTAAAATAAATCATTTAATAATTCCCGACTCTACCTCATCTAATCTGGACTTTTTTATTGTTTGCTCCATATAATGCCTCATCTGTAGAAATCCTGATTTTTAAACCAAATTGATTCTTTAGATCTTGAAAACTTTTAATTTTCTTCTTCTTAAAGAGCGCCCAGAATATTGTTGGTCCCCCGCCCCATCTTCTGAAGCTCCCATATTATTAGGTGTAAAATCTGAATCATGTGCAATCCACCGCAGTAACCTACTCTGCTTTGTAAGGTTATTCTTTGGTATAATCTCAAACCAAATGTTAAGGTATAAACCCAGCCATGGATTTAGTTCCTCACTAAGTTCCTAATTAGTTTTTTATCATTTATTATAGATTGTATTAGAATGATGGTCGATGTGTGGCCTTCAATGTCTTTCCATCTCGCCCGGTAGGCAGGATTACACAAGTTCCATACAGTTTTTAGTTGTGCGGCCTGATAATAGCTCTTAAGACAGGGCAGGGCTAGTCGCCCTTTAACTCTGGGAAGCTGTAGAGTTCTATATTTTATCCGTGGTCTTTTTCCTTGCCAAATGTATCGAGAGATGAACCTGTCCCATTCTGTAAAGTCTTTGTCTTTTACTTCTACTGGCAGAGTTTGGAATAAATACAATAACCTTGGAAGAACATTCATTTTGATTGCTTCTACCCTAGAAGCTAAACTTGTGAATGGGATTAGGTTCCATTTTACAATATCAGATTTTATTCTTGAAATTAATGGATCATAATTTATAGATTTCAGTTGAGATAAGTCTTGAGGTAGGATTTTGGATCCCAATTAAATTGGAATCCATCTCTTACAGCTCGATCCAGAACAGTTGAATGTGAGAACCTGTGTCTTTTTCACATTCAATTTATAGCCTGATAATAAAAAGTGTTGACATGAGAGCTGGAAGAGACTCCCTAATGCAGCTTTAAATGCATCATTTAGGGTTAAGTAAGTATTTCAAAACCTTTTGAATATAAACAGAATATTTATGATATATCATGTCATAGAGTGGGATTATTCCCTGTAATACAATCAGTGGAACTGTTACACTATGAGAGCTGAACTGTTTACTGTCACTTTCTAGATGTAACTAATCTTTCACCCTGTGATTATTGCTGCAGTTTATCCCAGGAATCCAATTAAAGTATGAATGTGTAGACTTTTTCTGGACAAACTGTGGCCCTCCCATTTCAAAGGCACAGCAGGCCTCACTGATGATTCATATTTCAGTGAGGTCAGTGTGCGTACGTGTGTGTGTGTGTGTGTGTGTGTGTGTACTGATTCAATGCAGTGAGTGAAAAACTGGATTAACAGCGTGTCCTCTTTAGTCCCTGTCTCACGCAGGCCAAACATGTGAGGCAGGAATTAGAGAGGAGGCGGGGAGGGCCTGTACAGGAAACATTTACCACAGAGAGGAGGGAGTAAACTGAAAGCACACATGACAAACACTTTTTCAAAAAGCCCCAGAAAAGAAAAAAAAGTTGCAAGATAGTTAAAATTATTTGTTATTTTATACAGTTGATCTCTCTTTTTACTGGTTGTAAACTTTATTTCATACAGTATAGATCACAAACATCAGAGTAGAAAATCTAAAGGGCAAATGGTGTTGCGGCTGTTTCTTGAAACCATGAAAATTTGCCAAATAAATACTATAAATAAATATTACAAATACAAATAATAATAGTGGACATTTAGGATCAGAAAATAAACTTAAATAACTATCAATATTAACATATATTGCACACCAGGAAGACCAGGTACCACATACCAGGTCCTTTCCTCTGCAGTCCTGGGCCCTTTGCTGGACGCCACTCCAAGATACTGAACCCCAAATTGCTTCCGATGCCATGCATCGGTGTGTGAATGTGTATGAATGAGTTTCTGTTCGATGGACTTCACTGAGTGAATGTGTGTGAAAGGGCAAATGTGCCATGTAGTGTAAAAGCACTTTGAGTACCACCATGAGCAAGCACTTGCCGACGGGGACAAGGAAAAACTGCCTGTTAAGAACGAAAACCTAGGACAGACCCTTCGGCTCTAGGTGGGGTGGTCATATGCCTTGGAACCTTGTGGGTGAGAGAGAAGAGAGAGACGAGAGAGAAGAGAGAGAGAGAGAGGAAGAGAGAGAGAGAGAGACAGACAGACAGACAGACAGACAGAATACACACGCAAAAACAGTAAGCAACTACACTAATAGTAGTAATGACATGTATTTATGGTGGAAGGAAACAAAAATAATTTTCCACAATGAGTGGACAATAAAGATTAAAAATTAGAATGTGTAATGTAACCCACAAGTACAGTGTAAAACATACAACCTGAGGGTAAAAAAATACTTCACATTTATTTATTAATTGATGAACAAAAATTATTACATATTGCGAAGCAACAAAGAGCCATCAATAAACTGACAAACACAGGTCACATTCTTTCTCTAATTGCTCATCATCTCCATCCCCACTGTTAATTCTTCATATCTCTGGCAACTCTGAAATGAGACAGGTGAGAGTAACCTCAAGCGTTGTATCCTCCATGTCTGTTCATATAGTTTATAGCCAAATTCCAGTTATAGCTGATATCTAATACTCTGTCTCTGCATTAAAACAACACAAGCAAGAACACACAAGCATCATCATGAAGGCGTTATTTAAATTATTTAAAAGTAAATTATATTAATGGGTTTAACATTAGGAGGATCTATTGGCAAAATATAAATTAATAAACCGCAACGACCACCCCGACCACCCTGTAGAAGTTACTTAATTATATGAGAACTTGCAATATTTAAACATTAAATGCCTACATTAATCTTTTTTTACTGACAAAAAATTTTAATAAACTTTTTGAAATTCCTATTATAGATTAAAGCCATTAGGCAAACTTCATACACAGATGTCCATCTGAGCAGTGGGCTGTAGGCCTAAATTTAAGGAGAGGTGATTACATCAGTGTTGAATTCATGCCATTGCTCTTAAATATAACAAGAGGACTTCTATAATAACATTAAGTCCCTCCCAAATTGATCATCTTGTAAAATGTGCTGCAGGCTCACTGCGATCAACACTAGAATTCTATTGCCCTATATAAAATGGAATATTAAAATAGGAGGCTAGCACGTGGTTACAACACCAAACCCACACGTTAAAGCAAAAAGGCAGAAATCTGAAAGGAAACGGCGCTCTTCCAAACTATTAAATCACATTCAATCTTGCAAATAGTTAAAACATTATAGAGTACCTATTATTCAACACTAATATAAAAAATAAGAAACAACCACCAGGTTCCTCTTTAGCACTGTACCAGGCTAACAGAGAGTCCACAGCTTTATTGACATGTATCCCCATAACAAACTCAAGTAGTAACGACTTTATGAGCTTCTTTTATGATAAAAATTATTACTATTAAGACAAAATAATTACCACTGCCACTCCAACAATGTAAAACTGCCTGTAAAATCAGATATATCCCTTAAGACTGTTTTTCCTGCTCAAGCTGGATCAATTAAATTTCATATATTCTTTCATCAAAGCCATCACATGTCCTTAGCACCCGCATCCCACTAGGCTCCATTAAAGAAGTCTACCCTTAATGGCACTTTTTACTGGATATGATCAATCTTTGTTTTTATCAACGCTACGTACACAGTCCCTTTAATAGCTGTTAAATTAAACCCTTCTTAAAAAGTCC